CTTTCTTTACCCCTCCATCACATAACTGTTGTGGCTAAGTAATGTTTTGATGACTTACCAAAATTTTGTCAACTGTTAGAAACAGGAATCCTCATTCCAACTTAAGGACAAAATAGCACATGACAAAGGGTTTGTGTGTCAGATCATCACATGATCTGGAGGCTGAGATTTGTTTAGATTTAATCAAGAACAGTTTGACTTCTTGTGAGGCTTTCAACCGCCATGTGTCCTTCAAAGTGTTATAAGAACTTTAAGCACTTCAGTCACTTGTACATCAGTGTTCAGAGCAAAGAAGCCTTTCCAGCAGATCCCTGCAAGCCTCTCCATGTTTGACCAACCTGAAATGTGATACACACACAACACAGTGTGTGTATCCCAGTGTTTCCCAGTTAACAATCAGTGTTAACTGGGAAAAGAAGAGGAGGAGTTGTGGATGTTTATACTTGAGTTATTGACTTTGCTCGATTCAATTTGGGGGAAGGGTAGCACAGATATTAAATGAATTCATAAATGAGCAGTTTATAACATTAGGTACGTTTAACTTTGGAGATATAGATTCATCTGTGAATACTACATTATTATTTTAGCAATTATGGGGATTTAACTTTGTTCATGAAAATTTCATTATTATTTTAGTAATGTTTGAAAGATGGTAAATCTATTTAATTAATAGATTTCAGAATTCAGAGTTTTTTGCTTCTGGTTTACATGCACGCACACACATATATATTATTTATTATACATATTAAACATAATAATTTAGATACAGATACCTGAACAGGGTGATGGATAGATGACTGATAGATGAATAATCATTCTAACACTTGTCATGACTAAGTAATCTGATCAAGTAAAAGAAATCATGTTACATTTGTTTGTTGTTATTAAATGAGCTCTAAATTATCATATTGTATAGTCCATAGCAATTTCTCTAAATGTGTCTGAAATAAAAGTAATTACAGTATTCTGTTAAGAAATTGATGCCACATAGGAAATAAATGCAAAAGCTCTTGGATTCTGAGAGCCACTGAGTAAATGGATTTCAGTCTCACACATTTTATCATAATTTCTGTTGAAGTTCTTAACAGGATCAGTGAAAATACTTTCAAGTGTATTAAGTATAAAAGAGGCAGCAATGTGCCATAACCATAAATTGGAGTTCAGTGTGCTCTTGCAGGAAGCATTTCCATTTGCATTGGTATTCATGGAATAGAAATCTTGGCATACAGATATGAGATGAAGTGCTCATAAAAATGGATTCACTTATCCATCAATGTAATATTTGATCAAGAGGTGTAAATATGTATAGTCTAAAATGTTTAGTTCATATCTAGCAAGTGATTTTATAACCTCAAAGTGCTTCTGCGTCCTTGTACCTGATAAAGAATTATGAGTCAATGTCACATCATTAATGGTCCTGGGGTTACTCTGGGGCCAGGATGAGCTTTGTCAGGGTGAGTGGCAAAGAAAAGAAAAACTGACAGTCCTGATCCTAGAAGTGTAGTCCAAGGGATCTACCTAGCATTCTGGGGAAATGTAACAGCACATGTCTTTTCTACTATATCTTAATAGTTCCGATTATTTCAGATGGGCCGAACGTACACACTCTGCAGTATTAAAAGAATGTGTTTTCTGATGGAAACAGATGCAGAGACCCACAGCCAAACATAGTCAGAGCTCATGAAATCCTGCAGAAGAGGGGAGGAAGGATTATAGGAGGCCGGAGGGGTCAAGGACACCAGGAGAAAACTCAGAGAATGAACTAAGCTGGCCTCATAGGATTCACAGAGACTCAATTCACAACCAGGGAGCCTTCATGGGACTGACCTAAACCCTCTAAGTATATGTTATAGTTGTGTAGCTTGGTCATCTTGTGGGGCTCCTAACAGCGGGAGCAGGGGCTGTCTTTTGCTCGTTTTGGGGATCCTATTTCGCATACTGGGTCGCCTTGCCAGCCTTAGTACAAGAGGACGTACCTAAAAGGTACTGCAACTTGTATGCTACGTTTTATGGACATCCATGGGACACCTGCCCTTTTCAGAAAAGAAATGAAGGAGGAGTGGATGGAAGGTCACAGGGTATGTGGGGGCAGGGACTCCGAGAAGAACAGGGTGGGCATTCTGCAGTAGAGATGTAAGTAATAATAATAATTATAAAAACTATATGGAGTGGATGGAGGTGGGCTGTGGGGAAGGTGAGGAGTGGTAGGAGTTAAGGTAGGAGGGAGAACTTTGGTGGGAATGTACAGTGAAATTAAATATATATATATTTAAAAAAAAGTAACATGGAATCTATCCCAAAGGCATAACATAGATAGCTGAATTGAAATAATATTAACTAGGTATTCAAATACTGAGGACTGTTTGGTTTTGTCTTATTTTTAACTTATTTTTAATAGAAAGTGACATCATTTTTCTTTATTGAGTGAGAGACCATGTATCTGTTTTAAAGAAGCTGGAGGGAATAGTAGGTAAGATGAGTTTTAGCTTTCCTGATTGAGAAAATATGGATGGTCACCCATCAAGGAAGGTACAGGATAGTCCCCCCAAAATAGAGTATTTAATGAAAAAAGTTCTTTATATCTGGAAAACTTGAAAAATATATTGTATAAGTTCTAGCTTAAATACTAAGAAATACTCAGAGTGATAAAATATTAATGATAATGATGGATATTACTAGACATTAACTAGAGATCTTGGCACTGTCTACAATCCACCTCTAAAAGGCAACTGTAACATATTTTCCAACTATTCACACAGCTTGAAATTCCAAAAGATCATCTCAAAGATAAATACATAACACTGCAATTCTACAATATTTCTTTATTTAAAAAGTGTAGTTTTTTAAAAGTACAGATGGAAGGATGTTTGGTTCCTTAACCCTGACAGTCAAGTGTCTGCTTGGGGTTTGCGATGCATCCCCCAGTTAGCTAAACTGGATCCTTCAACATAGCAGTTTGGATGTATGTGGTATTAACTATTTATATGAAATATTTAGTTACGTGTGCATTTCTTTATGTGAATATGTATGTATGTATGTATTTGTATTACATATATATATTTTACATATCATTAGAAATTGTTTCAGATCATACCATGACTGATGCTTTTCTTATCATTTGTGATACTTTGTTTTTTTTTTTATTCTAAAGGAAGACTAGTAGTATCAAGCATAGCATATGGAAGAGATAGCTTTAAAGTGCTTATAAACTAATTTATATATACTCATGATTAACAACAATAAAATTTATGCTCTGTTTCTTAGAACCAAAAACTATGCACATTCTCAAAAACCAAGTATAAAAAGTGAGATTTGGCAATAATGATTTCCGATGTCCCAAACCTTCCAATTAATTAGGCTTGGAGACCCAGAGACACTTTCCTGCTTTTGGACAGTGCAACTATATTTGCAATCACTTTTGCTATCTTGGTTTCTTTAATATTATTTTCTAATTAAAGGCTTCCTAATGGTACGAGGCCACTGTTGATTTAAAAATTGAAATTATGTATCACTTAGCAGCCTCTAAACCTTTTAGCTTCTCTATTGATATTTTAATCATGAAACTCAAGCTCCCACAAAGAGCAGATGAGCTCATGTAAATGGTACACAATGTCTTCTTTGTTATGTAAATCGATAAAGGTATTGTGATGTCCTTCCGTTCAGTGATTTATGTACTGGAAACAAACATAGCTTTTAACATGAATTGATATATGCATCAATAACAATAACAACCCTGTTGTTGCCTACATTTTAAAGTTCATTCTGATTTTATATTTTATATACACACATTTATTAAACATAAAACATAATTTCATACATAAAGGTGCAAAAATCAGTGGATTTCACAGAGAGTTCTTATATATATTCTATGTAATCATAAAATCAAGTAAATTATAATTATTTTATTCATCTCAAATGTTTGTCATTTCTATATATTATAAAAAATTAATAAACTTTTCTTCTAGCCTTTTGAAATCTGATGCATATTATTTTATTATGGTTGCCTTGCTCTGAAAGACTGTACCAGAACTTCTTTTCACTGTACACTGAAACTCAGTATGCATTGGTCAAACTTTGCCCCCTCTCACTACATCCCCAGAATTCTTGCAAACACCCTTAAATATTCAGATTCTGAAGATCCATTAGTGTAGATCACACATGAATGTGAGATCATGTGGTAGCTTTCTTTATTCAGATGGCTTATTTCACTTAACACAATGAACTGTGATACTTTGTGCTCTGTCAAACACAAGGATCCCCTTATTATACACAGCTTTTTGCTACCACATGTGTTTTTGTACTATATTATTTCATTTTTACATTCAGTAGTTATTGGTTTCTTAGCTTCTTTCCAATTCTTGGCTGATGGCAGTAGGGCTTTCCTGCATCCACAGTGTGGATGTCTCTTCAATATTTTCTTTTTAAAAATTCTTTGATTACTACTCATATTTATGTATCCATTCCCCCATTCCCTCGCCCTCACATCCTCCCATGTTCTCCACCAACCCTGCCCTAACCCATCCCCCAACTCCTCCCCAGAGATAGTGAGGCCAGGGATCTTCAAAGTCTGTCATATTGTTTGGGGGCGGGCCTAGGTCCTCCTTGCAGTATCTGGGCTGCAATAGTATGCCTCCATAGGGAATGGGCGCCCTTTATTTTACATGTGTATCCACTCACAGTAGACTTACCACATCACAGTGTTTCTTTAAGTTTACATTAAAAAAAATAAGTCTTGTATTGTTACCATGAAATAATGTTAACATTTTTGCCATTGTCTTGCTGTGCTTCTCCTGTATTTTGCCTTATTTCTTCAGTCTTATTGTTAATACATTCTTGATGGGTGGAGGAATGACCACTTTCTTTTGGACTTGAAACTCCCCAATATTTTGAAAGTGCTGCTCAAGTAAACTTTAGGGGCAAAATGTACACAAAGCATTCATAAAACAGTCAAATATAACTTTTATCTCTGTAAAGGAAAATGACACTCTGGTATTTTGCAGGTGCCTATGTGCTCCAGGTCAAGGCCACAGATGCAGATGACCCCACCTATGGGAACAGCGCCAGAGTCGTTTACAGCATTCTTCAGGGGCAACCTTATTTCTCTATTGATCCCAAGACAGGTAAATTTTTAATTTGGCATGGCATTATCACTACTCACTCACATAATTCAACTTAATTAAATCTTCAAATCAAATATTGCCTATTTCAATATAGCAGTAAAGAATCAGTGAACAATCATTTTACAAAAAAGAATCCATCTTATTTGACTGCTGGAGGCATATTTTCATTTACTGAGTAAGTACAAAACTTTTCCTGAGCTTTGTGTAAATATAAATGTTTGCACTTCTATTTAAAAGATCAAACCTTGTTAGCCAGCAGTCCTTTGTCTTTTTTATTCATCAGTCTAGAAGCACATTTCCATTTATTTTTTAATGTCAGATTTCTAGATTGTGTTCAATTTTGTTGTTTAGCCATGACTCTGTAATTTCTATTGTTATCTGCATAAATATTATAGTCGGTACATTTTGAGAAATATACTAGACATGTTTGCAGTGAGGGAAGCTAAGCACTTGGGAACTTGATGTACCAAGAATATTGATTCTTTTAGAATTGTTCTTCTTAGGCAGACACTATTTTTTATGCTTATTTTTGTTTGGTAGGTTTGTTTTATTTTGAACTATTATAGCTAGTTTTTTTTTTCAAAACTAGACACAATATAAGTAGCATAATAAGGGCTTGAATGTATACACATGGCCAATTTCATGTTTCCTTTCTTTATCATCCCTTCTCTGTTTTGGTTTTTTGTTTGGATATTTCTTTGTTTTGAGGTTGAGAGAGATCAGTTCCAGGACCTATATTTAGTAAGTAAGCATTTACACTTGAGTCACAGCCCCAGGTTTTGGTACTATTTAAATCAGATGAAGTTCCCCTTTGAGACAATCTGATATTAAATGCTGCCTTTTATTATGGAGACAGCCACTCTGACCAGTGAACAAAACGCATCATATGCCCCAGTTAAAAAGTAATGTCAGAATGGAAGTTATTATATAAATTATTAACTGTAAGTTAAAGTAGATTTCAAAGTAAATATGCTATCTTAGTATAATGTGAAAATTCTCAACACACTAGAAAGAATACATTCAAATTAATATCAAATGTTCTTTATTTATGAGATTATAATTAAAATGTTTCTCCCTTCACTTTTTCTCCCGTCAAATCTTCCCATGTAGCATAAATATATATGTATTCCTAAATATAATCAATATAGTCCAAATAGTGTTACTAGCATGTATGATATCATGCTGACCATTTGGCATTGGACATCCATTTAAGTGTGCTCTTCCCTTTCCTCAACTCTAAATGTAAAAGGCCTTGGGTTCTTTCAAATCCTCTTTGGCACACCCACTGGTAACATCCTTTTTCAAATGAAAACTTTACATTTCTGTCTTCAAATAAATTCCTTGTATTTTATTTTATTTGCTTTGAGAATTTCATGCACACATAAAATATGTTTTGATAAATTCTAAATACTTGTAATTCCCAAAGAATAAATTTTTAGAAAAAATATTTTTATGATAGTATATATGATAGTATAATTCCTTTGTGTGCTGTGCTCTGTGTGTGTGTGGGGGGGTGTGGGTGTGGGTGTGTGTGTATGTACATATTACAGTGTATGTGTGGAAGTGGTGAAAAACTTATGGGAATAAGTATGTTTTCTTCCTCTGAAAAGTACTGCTCAGGGATTAAACTACCATTGTCACACTTGACAGCAAGTTCAACTGTAAATCTTCTCATTAATGCACTTTAGGAAATGTCTCAAGAAAGATGCATGAGCTGAAGAAGATCTAGAAAGGGTTTCTCTCTTTCAGTTGGACAGAGTGATGGAAATTAAAGGCCAGAATGCTGAATGTCTAAATGATTATGTGCTGTGGAAAAATGTTTCCAAGTTATTTATTCAAAAAATATAAGGGAAAGTAGAGAACGATATACAGGAATATTGTTTTAAAAAATTTGCTGAAATTTAAGTTAGGGAACAAAATCACACATATATGTAGACAAAATAATTTGGAAAGTTATTCAAGTAGTTCTTTTTTTTCTCCATTTTTTAAAATTTAAATTAGAAACAAGATTGTTTTACATATTAATCCTAGTTCCCTCTCCCTCCCCTCCTCCCCTGCCCCCTACTAACACCCTACCTATCCCATACTATTTCTGCTCCCTAGGTAGAGTGAGGCCTTCCGTGGGGGGTCATCAGAGTCTGACATATCATTTGGGATAGGGCCTAGGCCCAACCTGTGTGTCTAGGCTGAGGGAGTATCCCTCTATGTGAAATGGGCTAGGGATAAGTACTGAACTAAAGAAGAGGCCCCATAGATTTCCAAGGCCTCCTCACTGATACGAAAATTCGTGGAATTAGTTCCATACTAGTTTCCCAGTGATGAGTCTGGGGGCTAAGAACTCCCCCTTGTTCAGGTCAGCTGTTTCTGTGTACATCATCAGTCTAGTTTGTCAGAAATAGAACAAGAGGGATGACATACAGCTTGACAATAAGGCAAACTTTTGTGAAGCTTCCCTGTTTTCTCATGGAATCATGTGCTCTATCTTCTTATAGATTTATAGAGCTCATTCAACTTTACTTTAATGAAAACCGTGACCATAAATGAAAGCCTTGGTGCTATCTGTTTCTTAACTTCTTTTACTCCCTAAGGAACACCCTGTAGAGACACAAAGAGAAGCAAAAGCAAACTGGGTGTGGGTAATGGTTGGGGGGGTAAGAGAGTCCACAAACTCAGAGTTGTGGTGATGAATTCTAAAGAGTGGGTGACTTTCACAATCTCAGAATCTATTTCCAAGAAAGACTGACATCTTAGTAAGGAAAGAATCATTGTAGGCAAGATAGATCTGACTAAAGATAGATCTGACTAAAAAATATAGAAAAATATTAATTTTATTACATTAAATAAGCTAAAATGATGGCTTTCCAAAATAAAACCACACATAAAATTATGTAAGTGAAATCTGAAACCTCTACTTTACATGGTTAATATGAATAGTAGATAAATTCTAATGTATATGAAAAGTATTATTTTGCAGTTGAAACTGTAGGTGTTTTGTGGCTGTGTAATCTTGTATTCATAATTTTAAATGAAGCTTTTTCTTTCAAGGTAAAGGTGAGCCTCTTCTGGCATCAGCTACATAATAGATTTCAGAACCATTGATTTTCAGTGGAGACAGAAGTCTTGCTGTAACAATGCCTCAGACCACTAGACAGGAAAAGAGTGGGTGTTGAGGCACTTCATTAATACAATGAAAACTAGTTCTTCATGCACAAAAACCATTAAGAAGCCTTTTTGTCAAATTTATCACCTTGTGGTAGATAAGAGAAAATCAGAAATCAAGGATAATTGTAGCTTCTCAGAAATAATCTCCATTTGTTCCAGCTATGTAACTTTCTTTTATGATTCAGTTTGCTGTTATTAAATAAAATACATGAAAACCATTACTATCTAAAATTTTATTGTTTGAATGTAGGGACCATTTAAAATAATATTAACGGAAGAGCATCATAAAAACTTTTGGGGCCTAAATATTTAGAAATATATAAATATACTCGTTATTTATTCAGTTGAAATGGGAATATGTAAATGATTTTAGTATTGATATTGCTGTCTGATATGCATTCCTAAGTCTACTTTCTCAGAGGATTAGAGAAAACTTAAAAGATAAAAAAAAATATAAATAGACATTAAGGTTAAACAAGTCAGCCTGTGAAATAAACCAACAAAACTATAATTCTCATAAAATTTCTTTCATTTCCAACTTATTTGCTTTAACCAAGAAGTAATTTATACCACTAAGTACTACTCAGTGGTATTTTGAAGTAAAAATGTAGGTGAATTTTTAAAATATCATATAGTTACATCTCATATTTAATGTTTGTGTGACAGCAAAATGTTATATTTACAATTTGTTTTAGTTTAACATCTGTTTCTGGACAAAATACCTTGACCAGACCCAACTTAAGAGGATTTATTTGTTTTACATTTCCAGATTATAGTCCATTGCTGTGTTCAGCCAAAACAGGCCTTTAAAGTATGACATCCACATTCTCAAAGAGAGAACAGATAGCCAGGCAGCGGTGGTGCACACCTTTAATCCCAGCACTCGGGAGGCAGAGGCAGGCAGATCTCTTTGAGTTTGAGATGAACCTGGTCTACAAGATCTCATTCCAGAACAGCCTCCAAATCCACAGAGTAACCCTGTCTCGAAAAACAACAAAAAACAAAAACAAGAGAGAAAAGAGGCATATATCACTTCTTCCTTTCTTTCCACTGATGCTCCCCTAGCTTTCTTTGCTTGTATAAAATTCCTGGCATGCCATATGGCATGGAGCTACCCATAGTAAGCTGGGTCAGTTAGTAGTTAAGGCAAAGCACCATAGGCATGTCTATACACAAGCCTAATGGGAATAATTCCTGAACTAGAATCTCTTTTCTGTTCTGCCAGGTCCCACAGCCATTTAGTCACAAATAAATACACAGAGGCTTATATTAATTTTGAACTGTTTGGCCGATGGCTCAGGCTTCTTATTGGCTAGCTGTCTCTTAATTTTCAACCATTTCAATTAATTTAAGAACTTACATGTGGTCTGGGTGTATCAGAGAGAATGCCCAGCATCTTATTTCTAGTAGCTACATGGTGTTTCCCCAGTGGTTCTCTCTCTGGTCCTCTCCCCATAATTCTCCTTGTCTGGTAACCCTGCCTACACTTTCTGCCTGACTACTGACCAATCAGTGATTTTTCAACAACCAATAAGAGAAATGTATATTAACATCATAGAGAAGGACAATCTCCATCAGTTAAAACAAGCCACCATGCATGTACCATTTCAAAATATGAAAAGAAAAGCTATTGTCTAGAAAAATGCACAATAATATTAAATTTAATCTACTACATGAAATCAGGAGGCCATGTCTCCATACTCATGACAACAATCTTCAAATCAGGGAAAATAAATAATATGAATAATTGACTCTTGCATCTTAATTTCTGTGTAAAACTCTTTTAATATATTTATTTTTTCCTGCACAACTAACCTATTTAGACAACTATAGATTGA